CCTTCCGTAGTGGTTGCACCATTTTACAATCCCACCAACAGTGAATAAGGGTTCTGATATTACCACAACCTCACCAGCATTTGTTGTCTTCTGCTCTCTTGAACTTTGATTTTGTTACTGGGGTTAGATGATATTTCATAGTTGTTTTTATTTGCATCTCTCTGATAGCTAGGAATTTTTACTCCATTTTTATGTTATCTTTTTCATCATTTGAATAACATTGCATTTTCACTTGGTAATATTTGGGTACCAAAATAGTTGCAGTCTCTTGCAGATTTATTTATTTTAACATCACCATCTATTTTGAGGATACTTTTAAGTCAGTTGAACTCTTTAATGCATTCTCTTTCCTCTTTTCAGCACATATCTTCTTTTCTACTCACATCATAAGCTTTTAACCATGTTTTAAATATGAAAGAATCAAGTTGACTGGTGCTTTATTCATCTTTTGATGCATATTTGGGCTATTTTTACCTTTCGCTATGGTTAGGAATGGTGTAGAGAACACTGGTATTCTGAGTCCCTACTTTGAAGGGTTTGGGGCATTTACCTAGGATTGAGATTTCCAAATCATGCGGTAATTCTTTGTTTAACTTTTTGAGAAACTTCCCAACTGTAGTATACAGTGGCTACAATATTTAACAACCCAAGTTGCAATGGATAACAACAACAATAACAAAATTCCTATTTCTCTGTATCTGCACCAGCAATTATTTTCTATTTTTCTGGAAACAACTACTTTCTTGTAGTATTGCTTTGTAGTTCTTTTTAAACATCTGTAGTTGAATTTCTGAAGCATTTCACTGAAAAGCTGTCCCAAAGTTTTTGCTCTTTTAAGAATATAAAACAGACACAGTGTATATGTAAGATTTATACATTTCATTGTATGCTCATTTTGTGTCGAAATCCCACTAATAAAATATTGAAGTCTTATTAAATATGTATCAAGTACTGATAGTTATGATTTACTTTGTAATATGTTAAAAATAAAATGGGTTAATGGAGAAGCACACAGATGACATGGGTAATTGTAAGACAAGTGTAGTAAAATGTTAATCATAGAATCTAGGTGGTAGATGGAAAAGGTAGAGGTAGGTTCAGTGATACAATTCTCCTCTTCTATGAGGGGAGTTCAGATTTGATTCCTAGTCAGTGTACCTCAAATGTAGTCAGCCCTCTCGTCAGTGGGGACTGTAAATCTCCAAGGCTGTAAATCTTGCTGGGAAGAGACCGCCTGTCTATTTAGAGAACTTTGGAACTCCTAAATTCTGAAAAAAATTCAACATTTCCATGAACTGTCACATCAAATACCTCTTCTGACACCAACTAAAAAGAGCAAGGTCCATATGAAGATGACCTTTATCAACTTCACAAAGTGTACTTGTCCCCATCAACCATATCAGTAACACAAAACCAGTTTCCATGATAACAGATATGTCCTTTCATGCTCCTATACCTCTTTCTACTCGTCTCAACATCAATCTTACTGCTTTGCTAGATTGAAAATCTGATGCAATAGCTCACAGACCACACAGAGCCATGTTAAGGAAGTTAAAAAAAGGTTATAGTCCATTTTATTAGCAGAATATAGTCTGGACAGCTCCTGAAATGTGCATGCAGGCAGCTCAGCCTCGAGCCTCACGGCTTTAGGCCAGTGCTCCCAAGTTTTCTGTGTAGATGGGCAGTTTCCACCCATTAAGATTTATAGCCTTGGAAACCTGATGGAGGGTCAGTTTATATTGGAATTGACACCGGAGCAATGAACTGGGTTTTTTTAAAAGTAGGTGTATCTTAGAGATACCATTATATTTGATGTCTTTACTCAAAGCCAATGGTTGACTACCCAGTGCGGACTGAGAGTGGGGTGGAGCTACCCGATTAAAGAAGCGTGGTAGGAGGAGTGGCATCCACTTCCATAATAGCTTGCCTCCGGAAACCCTGTGAACCTGGAGAGAGGATGAAAGGCACCCAAGCGCTAAGGACTCTCCTTCATAGGGTCGCTATGAGTCGCCTGCGACTCCACGGCACTTAACAACAACAACAACTCAAGGCCAATGATAATAAATTTTAATTGCATTTAATTTAGTCCTTTCGGGAATTTAAAAGATAGATACTTTTTAAATTCTAAAAGCTAGGCGTCTAAGATTTGGAGAGATTTGCATTTTCGCAAAGGCATTCAGGTACTGGATCAAAGTAGTAGTATACTAGAACCTACATTAACACCTCTGTCATATTAAGTAGAGGTAGGAACCTTGTCCTCTGTTACACGTATCAATTAGCATTTTAATTGTTGTATATTGTTTTAGAAAGAAAGATGGAAGGAATATACTGAGTCACTGTATCGAAAGGAATTGGAAGACACAGAAGAATTTCATGAAACAACATATGAGCAAGAGCCTAT